TTACTCCGGCCCACTGAAATGCGCATGGTCCCAGAGGGCTGATAAGTAACTGTCTTCACTCTCACTCAGCAAACCCCCACCTACGCGCCCGATGAGCGAATCCGAGATAGCCGGGCCTCACGCGCTGCCGGGGGAGGGGCAGGAGCAGACGGCCAGCGTTCCCAAGACAGTTGTCGCTTTCGCACGCGCGGAAGATGAGCATGATGCTCCTGCACTGGATGTTGTTGTGAATGACGACGCAGCCACGGAGGGTGCTGATCCCAAAGTGGAGGAGGAGGAGGATGCAGAGGTGGTAGTTGCTCCTGAGGAACTCGAGGAAGAGGAAGAGGAAGAGCCAGACCCCAGCGACGGTGAAGAGGAAGATGAGCGCGAAATGGACACCGACGACGAACTCGAGGAGGCCAACTTCTGGCACGACCAAGTCATGTCCGAGCTTCTGCGCGCGTGCCGGGACTACACCCCGAGCGAGTACACGATCCTCAAGGCCTTCTCCGTCGACCGCATGGGCAACGTCTCGTACACCGCGCGCGCGGCGCGCACCGGCGCGCTCGTCGCGGTCAAGGCGATCGAGCTGCGCGCGCCGATAGAGCGGTTTGCGGGCCAGCGGCTTATTGGGGAGCTGTACCTCACCCGCGATATGCTGAACCACAAGAACGTCGTGACGTTCTTGGATCTGTATTTGGCCGAGCGGCGGGAGGTGTGGCTGATCACAGAGTACATCGAGGGGGGTGCGACGCTGGCGGAGGTCATCCAGCAGAACCAGGGTACATTTGAAGAGGGCCAGGTAGCCAAGATCATCGGCGATGTGCGTGGCTCGTGCGCGTTCCTTCGCTTTACCTGCTGATGTGCATTTGCAGGTCACCCGAGGTCTCGAGCACCTCCATCAGCAGCTCATCCTCCATCGTGACATGCGGTCCGAGTCGATCGTCATCGACCCCAAAGGCCGGGTCAAAATCTGTGAGCACGCTACACCTCGACGAACTACAAGCATCTAACGGACGGCCATCCTTCATCCTCATAGCCAACTTTGCATTTGCGGTCCAGCTTCCCGATAAAGCAGCCAAGCGCCGCACGATGGTCAGCACGCTACCCTTGGCACCACTGTCCGACCGCTCCGCCTACACTCCGGACAAGACGCATTGGACTCCACCCGAGGTACGCCGCTGGCTCGCACGGACGCTTGAGTGCCCCCTCTCACGCACCGTAGGTCATTCGCCGAGCCCCCTATGGACCGGAAGTCGATATTTGGGCGCTGGGAATCACGTTGCTCGAGATGCTGCAGGGCGGCCCGCCATACGAGTTTGCCGACGAACCGAGCGCACCGGAGCCGGCAGCGTCCGCTGCGGGGGAGGACAAGGTAGAGGAGGCCCAGTCTGCGGGGGACGGTGCGTACGACGCGCAGACCGATCACAAAGCTCTGACATCCGCATCTCAAGACTCATCACCATCTGCCGACATAGTGGCTGATCCCGATGCGGTTCCAAAGGAAGCACAGGCTCCCGCAGATGTGGAGACTTCCCCTGACGCCACTGCCGATGCAGATACGCCCGCCGAGCCGGCAGCCACCCACACCACCGCGGAAGCCGCGCCCGAGCGGAAGCGCAACGACCCTCTGCGCGTCCTCTTCCTCATCCTCGTCAACGGACCCCCGACGCTCCCGTCAGATGCCACCGTGCAAAAGGCCGGCGGTCGCGAGCCCGTCAGTGCGGATCTGCGGTCGTTCCTGGCCAGGTGTCTGGTCGTGGATGTGTCCGCTCGGGCTGCGGCCGCGGAGCTCGTCGAGGTACGTGTCCCACGCTTTTTCGAAGCACGCCCGGGCTGACGATCGGTCGTTCGTCTAGCATCCGTTCGTCCAGCGTGCGTGCGATCCGGAGGGTTTGGCCTCGCTCCTGGCATGGAGAGTCGCGGAGATCGAGCGTGAGAAGGCCGAGGAACCGGATGATGAGCTAGAGGGAGATGGCGAGGATGCAGAATCTGGGTCTTTGGGCGAACAGGCGGAGACAGCCAATGGACGTCCGAACGAGATCGAAGCGCTTTCAAGTGATGACATCACGTGTTGAGCGATGCGTCCCGATGTCGACGGGAGCCTAATCCAGCCTCACTATCCCCGGTCAGGCACACGAGTCTGCTGCGAAAGACCATTCGCGTAGGGAAATGAATAGCTCATGGACGATCAAGCTCGTGCTCTGTAGTCTGTTTGACTTTCCGGCAACTGAACAGAACCCCTTCGCCACACTCTAGAAACCGTCGCGCTCCATTCGGCTTGCGAGAAGCCGAAATAGAGCGTACCGTGAGAGTCTCGCACGGCGCGCACGACGACACGCTCCCAGTGTGCCGAATCCGAACAGCTTTGGGCACGATAGATCGATTCAATTGGGTACGATGTTCTCGGCCATGCACGGTATGTGCGATATCAACTCTGGCGGCATGGTTACCATCCGGAATGATGAACGGATGAGAATCCAAGTGGGATAAAATCTATATTGTGCTTGGGGTTTCTCCCGATTTATATAGTACATAGTCATGTATCGGAAAAGTAATTCTACTGCCTTATATATTTGTATCTGACTGAGTCGTGTATCAGTAAGATGCTTTGAGAACATTCGGGAATGATCTTGATGCAAAGGCACAGCATTCCTGTTAATACTCAACACGGAAGAGAGTTCAGAATGGCGAATCCGCCGAGCCAATGGCTCTAATAACTTGACATGGTGAGAAGGAATTGACTCCCCCGAGCGCGTCTCGCAATAGCTCTCCCTGAAGATGACGCAGAAGCTGCCAGCGGAAGTCTCGGAGATGTCGAATTCAACACGAGTCGCCTTGGGCGAGGGCGACCCTGAATGCGGATCCGCTGTCACAAACTTCACGATCGAAGAGATTGGGCGTTGTAGACTGGATGATCATTTCGCTCAAACGACAAGTTGGATCTTGGAACTGATAATATCAAGGGCTGAGCGTTTGCATGACGAGGATACTCTCACACGACGCCAAGGCACGGAAGCCCATGTAGATCTTCAGAGGTCGATTCCGACCATCTCTGCTCTTGCCCCATCACATCGGTGGAGGTGCCTGGCCGCTTAAGACCGCCTGCTGTGAGCACAGCCTCTTCATTCGCAGTGAGGTCCGTCCATCCCACATGAGCGTCTGATCAACTTCGTACCGCGGTGATGCGACTAAATGGCCTCCCAGTTCCGGCACAGCGGGAACTTACACTATGTGGACAAAATGATTGACTGATTGGTTTTTTGATTGTCCTGGCTCACAGAGCTGATATTGCCCAAGGGTCAATTGGAATAAAATGCACCTTAAGAGTATTAGTTTCCTTGTGTAGAATATCTAGAACTCCAGATTACAGTGTACTAAATGAAAATCTTGTCTATGTTCAAATGTGCCCACCCCTGCCTGGAATCCTCCTTGCCTGATGGCAGTGGGTGCTGACCTTTCACTATGTGTTTGAGAGAGTCCTAGATGTGCTAGATGACATTGAAATCAGGACTCAAGGCTGGCCAGAGAAGCAAAATGTTGTCTTTATTGTAAAACCAGTCATTGATAATTAGTGGTATATCTCTACAAATAATTTTGCAACAACTTCAGGGGTTCAGTGGAGTATTCTATAGGCCCAAGGCTACATTTTGTTCTTAGAGACCCTAAGATGATATGAGCTCTAAGAGCCTGGAAAGCCCAATTTCAATCAAAGAGAACTGATCAGTCAATCATTTTGTCCACTTACTGTACAAGAGGTTGGTGCTGTTACACCGCGTGCTAAACAGTATGCTGGCCATGATTATCAGTCGTGTATGATACAAGTGGCGGAGATGTGCCGACAAAGCGCTTCGAGAACAAAACAGTGGACGATGATTGGTCCGGACATTGACAACAACCCTGCCTTGGGTTCTCTTGATCTCGGATCTGGATCTTCACTAGGGTACGGCAGCTGAGGTGCCAGAAGGACTCTATATTTGGAGTTACATAACGCTCAGCAGTGACTTGAGTGCTGCTTATAAGCTCCTTTGTATCGAAATACCATCCAGAGTTTCCGATCCAAGCCCTCAACCTGATTTCAGTTTATTATACCGAGGGACGGTAAGTCGAGTTCAAACAGCCCTCTGACTTTCCAACTTGCTAAGCAGTCCCGCCCTTCAGCTGCATTGATTCATGCCCAGAAGAATGCCATCGCTATCCCCCGCTCAAACGGTTGATTTCTCGTTCTCGTCAGGCTCGGAGGATGCCAGCACCGAGCAAACGCACAATCCGCAATCCCGTTCAGAATGGCTTGACCTTCCACAAGCTCCGATCCCTGCACGTCATCAGTGTGTTCCGCTGCCGCCCCAAACCCCGTGCATCAGGCACATCCTGATACATCCCACCCTCTTGGCCCCCGGCAGTGCTATGTCATTCGACTTCAGCGTCTCGCGGCGTGATTGGCACGCGTTTCGACATCAGATGCGTTCGATCTCGACGCGGAAAGAGCATGCGACGCATCCGGCCATGTCGTCGCTCACATTGCTTTCACCAGGTCTTCCGTGGGCGATAGTGGTTTTCCCACAAGCTCTCGGTGGTGCGGTAACGGTCGAAGATGTTTTATTTGCCATTCAGAGCAAGCTGGTGGAGGGACTCGAGCTTTTCAATGGAAGCGCACTATTCTCCCGCGGAGGTCGGGAGACAGGGAGGAAAATTGATATATTGGGAGATAGAACAAGATTCGGCGGTCTCTCATCCTCGATTGCGCGAGAGGACTGCTCTGCTCTCATGGTTCATTTCTTCTGACACTTTGTTATATGATATGCCATGTATCTTCCTGTTACATGGGTGTAGAACAACAGAAAAAACCCTTCCTTCAGAAAGATAACGAGCTTTATGTTTTCAAGTGGTCCTGAAAGGTTCGAACTCCACGTGAAGTTGGAAATATACAACGATCATTGTCGCTCCGATCACGTGCCTGGTCTGTGCGCATGTCTGATGTCATTGATGTCACATCGATCGCGGAAGGTACCGGGCCTTTAATACGCCATCCATCGATTTCACAGCATCCAAATCGATCCCTTCATCCACTACCACGACCACTATGGCTGACTGCTACGTACGGTCCATCCCGCGATGCGTGGCGATGTCGAATACTCATCTGTTTTCTGCAGTTCGACGTGACCATCGGCAAGGACACCACGCCTCAGCGCATCGTCTTCCGTCTCTACGACGACGTTGTCCCCATCACGGCCAACAACTTCCGCAAGCTCTGCCAGCACCTCGACAAGGACGGAAAGGAGACCAAGGCCGGCTACTCGGGCTCGATCTTCCACCGTGTCATCCCCAGCTTCATGCTCCAGGGTGGTGACTTCACGCGTCACAACGGTACCGGTGGTGTCTCCATCTATGGCGAGAAGTTCAAGGGTGCGCTGGCGCGTTTCTTCGACTGAAAGCACGCGTGCTGACTTCGTTCCGTCTTCCTCCTTGCGTGCAGATGAGAACTTCCGCCTCAAGCACGACAAGCCCTTCCTCCTGTCCATGGCCAACGCTGGACCCAACACCAACGGCTCCCAGTTCTTTATCACCACTGTTGTCACCTCGTGGCTCGATGGAAAGCATGTTGTCTTCGGTAGGCCTCTTTCCGTCTCGTTTCGGCCACAGCTGATCAGAGCGTGCAGGTGAGGTCATCCAGGGCTCGGACATCGTGAAGAAGATCGAAGGCTACGGATCTCAGAGCGGAAAGACCTCGCAGCAGATCTCCATCGTCGGCTCCGGAATCGTTGAGTAGACTTGTAATCCTATAACGGACTTGTAGCACAAGAGAAAACGAAATCAAGTTGTAGTTGGTACCAGCGTTGATACGTGTCTTGTTCTATTGCACGCGATTCTCCCTTCGCACTGAATTGGAGGGCACGACGACGGACGACGAGTGGGGAAGAAGCCCCTATTGAATTCGATTAACGTTGCAAAAGCCTCGCAATCGCCGCCATCGATGGACTCATGTCCATCCGGGGATATCATCGAACGTTCGACCACGAATTTACCATGTTTCGCTGCGCTGATCGTTGAATAATTGATTGCTGTCTCGTGCGAGAAGCGGACCAATATTAACTGGACGCCTCCTTCGAAATACCTTTCTCGGTACCGCGGCCGCCATGAAACCTCATAATTATTCTCTCTGTGAAAAACAGATGTGGTTGGCATTGGTTTTCTGAGCACATCAATCGGAATCGTTGAAATTCACAGCAAACTTCGATGCTGACAAATGGGAATTAGCTCATACAAATTACACTGCCGAAGCCGCTCACCATCCACTTCCCCAGACTGGCGATTGACGATTCTGCGGTCCGCTCTCGTCCAGTAATCTTCTCCGCTCAGCACGCCCTCTTGCCAATCCACGATATAGTCCGAGACTGAGACCAGCACGATGCGGCAGTCGTCCTCGAAGACCCGTCTTTCTTCAGGGAGCAACGGAGTCGATGACACGACGCGATAGGTGCTGACGATGACGAGCGCTTCCAGTGAGGTGAAGCAGGACACAATATCCGGGAGCATGCGGATGACGGTCGTCACGCTGAAGGCGAGATGCGTGAGGTTGGGCAGGAGCGTTTCACTCTCGACGAGGAGCGGATGAGAGTCCGATGTGCCGAAGTTCCGCCCGATGTTGAACAGTTCAAGGTGGGTGAGCAAGGGGAAGGTGATTCCTGTTGATGGTAATGAAGCCAAACTGGCCGAGAAGAGATTGAGATACGTGCCGGTGGAGAAATCGAATACCTCGAGACCGCAGTGCAACCGCCGCAGGGAGGGCGAGAGGTCGAACACCTCTGGCTTCGATCCAGAGAAAAAGAGGTTCTTCACTCCAGCGCACGTCCGCATCACAAGCTCGACCGTATCTTGTCTCTCCCCGATGAGCAGCACGTTCGTCACGACTATCTCCAGAGCGCCGGGATAGGCCTCGGATGCGCGTTGGATCGTGTCGAGCTCGCACGAGGGAAGTTTGTTGTCGAATCCATCGTTGAATATGATCGTGCGAAAGAGGCAGGGTTCCAACCTTGTCACTTGAAGATGAATGATCGACCACATCGAGGGGGAAAGGGACCGACCAGGTCCTCACACGACGACAGACCGGGAGCACGTGGAGAATTCGTTCCGGACTTGCGGATTCGAGGGCGTAAAGCTCAAATATATATCGTTCCAACTCGGGTGGGAGTATGGGAGTGAGATCGCTGGCGGGCTTGATATTCTGGCTGAAGGGCCACTTCATTTCTTGGGATTCGGGATGCGAAAGTTGTGGGGTAACGACCGGTCTGCCTGTGATCCGATCGGGGGATCTTGAGCAATTGGATCAGGTCGGTCCGGAGAATCCGAATAGGCTGCCACGATCCTCTCTCGTCATCAGTTCTCTCACTGTCACCACTTCCTCATTCTCCAAGAAATTTCCCTTATCGTGCAATATGTCGGCAAGAAAATCTTTCTTCCCTCAGAACTCTGCCTCGTCTTCTGTCCCACCACCTGCGCTTTTCGTTCCTGATCAGTCAAACCCACTACACAGCTCTAGCAACGGCTCTTTCACCGCCCCTTTTGACATCCCCAATCTTCTCAAGCCTCAACGATCTCAACAACATGCCTCACAGGGACAGCCGCCGTCTCGACGCCAATCCATGAATGCTTCCATCCGGCCATCGACCGGCACTCCTCATGCTCAAGGTCCCACCCACTCTCGTGTCCTCGACGCCCTCAACGCTGCGGGTCTCATCACGCGGCCCGGAACTTCTGACCCGCATAAACGGTCGAAAAACTTCGCGACCCACCGTCTTCAATCTCACGGGCCCTCTGGCGCGACAGGTGGTACTCCCAATGTGATCGCCGCCCCATCGCCGCGCATGCCAGCGTCAGCTCTCTTTCGCGAACCGACGGCTTCTCCTGCTGGTGCCTTCAAGCCTTCTGCCCCCATACCTGTGTCTCAAGCCGTGTCAATGACGCCGACAGGCGAGCAGCCCCAAGACGAGGCGCATATATTCGGCTTCAATGCTGCGCAAGAGCACCCTGATGCTTCGAACAATCGTCCCCTCTCTCGCTCTCTGCACTCTGCTCACGTTCACCCCCATCTTGAAGAGGATAGTGACGAGCCGCCGATGCTGCAGTCTCGATCTCCCTTCCTGCACCAAGACCGTGTCAATACCGGTGTCCGCGGGACAGGCCAGCAAGATGACGACGTTTATGAGATTCCCGAAGCCGAGGTGCGCGCTCGGGGATCTAACTTGAAACGCGGACGATCCGAGGTCGAGGACGGCGAGGGAGATGATCACGGGATGGGCTATGGAGCTGGGCAAGCGAAGCGGTTCAAGGCCCAGGAGCAGGTGTGTACATCATCCGCCATCGACCGACCGCAGAAACATGCTTGATCTTGACTGCAGCTGGAGGATTCGGGGTACGAACGGATGGCATTGCCCGACCCCACTCATCCACGACAAGATGTCGAGCACCACCATCAGCTTCAGCATCACCACGATGGCCGTCCGCAGCGTGTTCCCCCGTCGACTTATGTTAGCTACTCCGGTCGTCCTTATGACTCTATCCAGCCCATCTCGCCTTCTCACCAAGAACAGGCTTGCGGTTCAGACCCCGACTCTCATGCGGAACGCGAGCGACCCGAAGCGTCGCCTCTGCTCAAGCTCCTGCGCGTTGAACAAGTTGATCTCCTCTCCGCTGCTCGAGTGGATAAGTATATCCAGTCGACTGAGAAGTGGAAGAATTGCACCCGGGAGGAGTGGATTGCAGGAGCAGATGGTACTCCACTTTCACCTCTTGTATCGTAACACCGACGCTGTGCAGAGCTCATGAGGATGTACACCAAGATCTTCGACTTCGTGAGTCATTTCTGGTAATCTTGGCTATGTCTCTGACAGACACTGCTAGGCCAAAGCTCACATGACGTGTGTATCTTCTACATGTTCTCGGTCTTGCCCTCTCTCATCTGTCTCGCAGCGACAAGTTCCAGATGTTCACTCAATGCGACGACACGCTCAAAGCACACAACGAGGTTTTGAAAGAACGTGATACGTTGCTGGGCGATGTGCGGGACCAGCTTGTCGCGGAGGGTGGAAACGTACTGGCCAAGTGATTCATTCAATCGTCTTCCTGTGCGACGCTGTGTCTTCTGTTCGGGGCCCGGTGGACTTCTGAACTTACAATAACCTTCCGTATACTGCACGTTTCTTGCTGTTGTGTGATACTCCACGGGTCTGAGCACCGCATGTACAACTGCTGTATCCGCACAAGCTGTGTAATTGTGTGCTAGCTATGTCGAATGCCGTTGCGTTGTGTGCCTGACCGGGCGTCCGGTGTACTTATACCCTCAGCCACTTAGAGTCACCATACCACATGGGTTCCGACTGCAAGACAGTGATCGATTTCTTGAGCGAGGACAAGGCAAGAACGGGCTTACTAACAGCACTGACGTGATCACAACATTGACTCTTTGACAGCTTCCTTTCGACAATGAGGACCGCGTCCTCACTCGGGCACAGAACCGCGTCTCCATCGAGCATACGTTCGGCTGCGTTCGGAATGCCCGCTTTATCATCGACCCCAACCTCGACATCCCCCGCTCGCTGCGTGTGCCGTTTGGGCCTTCGTATCGGGCATACCTCTGGGACGAGCCGGAGCTCGACCCGAACCTCTCTGTGAATGTCTGGGGCCAGATATCCGCGGACATCGATGTGCGGCCGCGTCTGCCTCCTCCAGCCGACGAGATCGCTCTAGGTGGTACGGACGGGGACGGCGCGGGTACGTCCCTCGACGTAGACGCGGACGGCAAACCCCATAGTCCGTTCATGGCGCGCGCAGTGGCCCGGGCACGCGAGCGACGGCTTGAGAAGAGGCGCCTCGCGCGACTGGTGCACATCGAAGCGAAGACGCGCACGGGCGATATTGAGCTGCACGTGGTGCGTGGCGGTCCCTCTCGAACACCTCGCTCGCAGTGGTGCAGAAGCACATACAGTCTACTGACGCGCCTATGCAGCATTCTGGCGCTGGCGGGCCCATATCGCTCACTGCAGCGTCCGTCATGGGGAACATCCGCATCTTCCTATCGCACCCGGTACAGGGCCAGCTCGTCGTCCGGGCGCCCATCTTGGGCCGCCACCGCGTCACGCTGTCACCCCGCATACAAGCAACGTGCGGCGCTCCGCTGCACGAGGCTGGGCGCACGACGCACTGGCTTGTTGGGGACACCGCGAGCAGAGTTGTACAGGACGGCGAGGGGGACCGGATCACCGTGGAGGCTTCCCTGGGCTCGGTCTGGATCGGGTACGTGGATGAGACTCCGTCGGCAACGGCGGGGAGTGGAGACGGTTCGCGCACCTCGAGGTCTCAATGCTTTTGGATGAAGGCTTGTCTCGTGCTGCTCGCTCTTGCTTGGGTGGCCTGGTGATTTGCGCTGTTCCAAACATTGGAGTACTTTCTCTGATTACTTGGACCCGGGAATGCATCCGTCGCAAGTCGGACTGTGCGTCATATGTGGCCAGGTCGTACTAAGGCCTTTGGATCTCTGCTGCCTAGACAAATACCCCGTATTTTTCTATTTGTGATAATTTGAAATCGATTCACTGCTCTAGTTATCTATGGCGATGAAGAAAACCGGTGCATGGGCTAGCTCTCTAACTTGGACTCTTCAGTGATGTTGTAAGTATACATAGGCGATCAGTTCAATGAGTACCTACTGGCAACCGGGTCCCCAATAAAGCCATGAAGCATTCAAGATTCTCCGCGGTTCATCAAACACAGGACGATAGGACGACAGTCCAGAGCTCAAACATGATCCATGAACGAGCGCTGTGTGTATGCCGGCCCCCTTGAATGGCTTGAATGAGGGCAGATCGAGGTCAAGTCACCTTTTGGTCGCAGGTCGAGAGCCCCAGCTCCGCGTCGGTCTGCTGAGTGCGCAGGATGTAGACTCCGCTCTCGAAGCTCGGCATGTTCGTGGAGACCGCCGTGTTGGTATTGCCTTCGACGCTGCTGCCGTAGTGCGGACCGCCCGAGCCTCCGGCGCTGCCGCTAATCTTGTTTCCAAATGCGCTGCCGTTGTTCGCGCCAACGCTGCGTTTGTTCAGATGATAGCAGTCCTGAAAAAGCATTTTAGCTGACATTTGGGGTGCTGTAGTCGGGGAAAATCACGGCAGAAAAAAAACCGCGCCGTATTGCTGGCTCGCACGTCAGTTCGATATTGCGGAAATTGAAAAGTCCGGAGACTCACGGGGACGGCCCCGAGCAGTATCAGGCCAATCAGTGCGACGCTGGATGCGAAGGGATTTAAGCGGCTTCTGAGGAAGACTCCGAAGAGTACATAAGGCGTGCCAGTCAAGGCGTTGGTCTCGGCGGTCGATTGGACGATAGGCATGATCACGTTGTGGGATTTGCGGAACTGCGAGTTGCTCACGGGTGAGGAGCCACAGTCATACATTAGATCTACCGGATACGGCAGAGATGCTCCCAGAAGCAACGCACAGTCTAGCAGAAGACGACTGCAATGGCAATATCAGCCACCGCACCGCCGGAGAGCCACATCTAATCAAAGTATGAACGAGCGACAGCAGTTAAGATGTGATTGTTGTCAAGCACCGACCGCTCGACAACCTCCGTGCTGATGAGCGGGAGCCAGCCGAGCGCGTGGGCCTGCAACCATCAGGCATCTCGTGCGACCGAAGAGCAAGCGAGAAGCACCGCCGCGACGCACTGTATGAGCGACACGATACTGATCAGGATAGGGGGGATCATGCTCTTGCGGAAGACGTATATGCGGCCAGCCTCGGCCAGCAGTATAAGAGTTGCACAATGAGCGAGATGCGGTCGTCGAGCATCGGCACGTCCCAGGAGTCGAGGAACGTGTCGTTGCGCTGGATCATGTTGGCGGATCCAAAAACGAACCAGTGGGACGCGTCCGCCGTGACCATGGCTGTCTGGAGGATGCCGAGGAAGGACAACTGCCGACTGGGTGCGCCGTGAGCATATTCGACCAGAGAAGACAAAGAAGACCACGGGTTACCGGGGTTTTTAGGCCGCGCGGATTGTTCAAGCAGGAGGTGAAGTATACGTCTTCGGTCGTGTAATGCTACTGAGGCTTGAGCAACCGGCGGGGATCGAGCACAGGCCATTCACAAACTTGAACGAGAGTGATGCCCATGAATCCCCAGGTGAGGCACATATCTATAATCTGAGTTCGAAATGAGCTTGAAATGCGTGTTGAAGCACATCAAACTCGCTTACCATCGGCCCTGTGCTGCAGGAAGAGAAGTCGAAGACAATCCCGGGGCAAGAGGTGTCAGACGTACACCATGGCAATCTCACGAGAAACCTTGGACGAGTCCATGTCGAGCAGTGCTGGACAGTGGGTAGAACGTATCGCAGGGAACTTGAGCCTCAGTGTCACAGCACCAAAACAACGCATCGTACACCTAATGCAAGAGAGTCGTTCCTTCCCAAAATAATATTACACGGCAGAAGTGTGATGGTGGGAGCGTGAAGCCCTGATTGTATTCGGTTTCGAGCTCTTCAAGCCACCGCAACGACGCCGAGGAATCAATAAGGAGATTATGTAAGTTATCCCGCCGCAGATCTCTTCTCGGGCAAAGCGCGATAAGATACAAATCATCTTCTTGTGGCACATCACTGCACCTTAGGTGACCAAACACCGCCGCCATCATGCTGTTTTTACCCCGCTGGACTTGTGCCACTTGCTGCTATGAGATTCATACCCAATCAGGAAGGAGGGTGAGGGGTGAGTGCAGGGGGCACAGTGCATGGTGACTCGCTTGACTTCCTGGTTCTTTCTCATCATTCACGTGACTATGGCAGATTATAGGCGTGGCACGGGTGTATTACGGAATTTTTATGTGTCTGTTGGGTTACTTCCCACTACACTGCGGAGGGGGGAGTAGTTTCTTTTTCCACGGAAAATACGCGCCAATCTAGAATTCCAATTTTCATCGTTCTGTTTCAAGACAAAAAAAAAGATATTGAAAATAGATGTTGATTTGCAGCTCCATTTTTACCACAAACAGACATCTATTCCCCACAGTGCCAAAAACAGAGCTGTTAATAGATCATTTTTCTTAATCGATTGCACTATGAATACACATTTTGGACCACTTCTACCCTATTTTATGGAGGGGGAAAGTAAATTTGCGCTCAAATTTACTCTATTTTGGGCCTTGCTACCCCCAAGTGTCTGAGGGCCAGAGGTGGTGGTTCGAGCATTGCAGTGCAAGTGCTGTACATAGCACATGTTCAAGGTGTGCATGGGATGGTGCATGGCAAGAATGATATGATCATTGATGGACAGACCACTGATCACACGGCTCTTGACGTTCGTCTCCAAAACGAGGACTTGAGCCCCACAGGCCATGACACATGTCCTGAGTCGCACTGGAGAGTTCCGCGAAACAACATGTGCACGCCAAAATCGATCAAATTGATGTTTTGCATTGACCCTGTATTTTCCCAGGTTCCCTCTTGTTAGGCAACAAAACGTGGTCCTCCACCCCGTCCTCCGTTCTCCCAAGTCCTGTCCAAAACGCTGCTGGCCCTTTGGCCTCGATCCTGGTGTCCTGGTGAATATCTAATCAGCGCTAATTAGATGTCCTGCATGCGGCCTTCAGATGTGAACCGAGAAGAAGTCAATACTCATTCTAGCGAGATGTTAGAAGCAGAAGGGTCTTGCGCCCGGTTTGCCGGCGTTAAGCCGTTCCATAAAGGAGAAGCGAGGGAAAGAAAGGCTTTGAAACACTACAGGCTTCGGAAAGGAGGCGATATCGAGGCCACGCGCCCTGAGTGAGCTTTTTACTTTTCCGACAGAACAGAGCCGAGGAATTGGCGAGATTTAATAAACGGCGAATCATTTCCACGCATGCCTTTCTTTTCGCGGACTGATCCGGAGCAGCTTGAAGGAGAGCAGCTCCTGGAAGCACGCAACATAGGCAGAGGCCCCCGGATACTCCGCACAAGGCCAGCAAGAGGCTGATTTGTACTGCCAAATCGCCTGTCTGGCCGTTGATTTGTGCTATGTCCGGACTGAGGTTCACCTATATTTGGATAATTTCGATGCTTTTTGTAGTGTTATGAACAAGCTTCCGTCCAATACTTCCCTCTCTCAGTCTGAGGCGCGTTCCGTAGGATCTTACTTGTCACAGTAGGCGAATGACATGATTTTTACTCTTCTCGGGGATCAAAGGATAAGGGTGGACGCGAAAAAATGTGAGCTCTGCGCTCGAGAGTTGAACTATGCCAGCCTGAGATCTCGCGTCTTGCGCCTGATTTGCGCTGTTTTCCACACTGAGATGTGGCCATTTTCGGGCCTCGATTTGCGCTATCCCGGACTGAGTCAATAGTTAGTAGCCGGGGGACTACAGGCGGACGAGGTTTTAACCGACGTGACAAATTGTCATCACGAGCGAATGATACAGACTGAGAAAATGACGAGTGTGCATCTGGAACAAACAACGTCACTGAGACCATATTCCCGTACGACGATGACGAGCCGGTATAACTCCACTTTCCGAAGTGGCAGGATGCCAAGGTAGCGAGTGAGGCTCGCGCGAGTCGGGACCCCCTGCTCGAGTCATCCTCCTCTCCATGAGTCAATCCTACTTGTGGAATGCAGGGCAGCGGCATTACAACACCTTCTATCGGTATCATGGAAGAATTGCTTCCTTTTATAGACCAGAGAACACGATAACCTGAACGGCCCAAACGAAGATCTCGCGTCAGATCAGATTCGTTCCACCTACATATAAAATGCTCAGCTATTTACCTTGATCCCCCGCGAATCCAGGAGTCTCACTTGCGCCCTCTGTGCATTTTACACAGTCACACACTGTCTTCGCTCTGAGATCCTCCCCGAACTATGTTCTGGTCCTCTAGCAAAGGCAAGACCCGAGCGCGGGTTTCGGCACCCAGAATGCCCTGCGAACTGGAACGGTACATTGTCGAGATGTATGCACTCGAATGCGCCGGCCCGGAGCGGATCCTACAGCTACTTCCCGTTTGCCATCGGGTGCGAGTCTGGTACCCTCATTCTATTCTATCATAAAGCCTTTGAGATGATCTGACCGATGCTGACCAGGCTCGAGCCGGCACTCTACCGCACACTCATATTCAACGACGGATGCGATGAGCAGAGACTCCCCACCTGCGAGATAAATGCGATCAAGCGTCTGTCTTCTGCCTATCCAGGCGCCCTCCAGAACATTGTAAAGAATATCATGCTGATCGGAGAAAGGCGGGATACTGTGGAGTACGTGCTGAGGAGTTGCAATGGGGCCGAGAATGTGTTCCTCGCTGGATGCGCCACTCGTGGGCTTGATCTTTCGCTAATTTCGCCGTCCCTCCGACATTTGCATTGTACTGTGGAGACCTTAGAACTGCTCAATTGGAAACCTGAAGGTGCGCTTGAACATGCTCGTTGTGGATCCTCGTCACGGCCCACGATCAGGGTTCACTTTCCCGGCTCTCACTCATCTCGAGCTCTTCAACGTCGACGACCATTCCCACAGACGCGTACCTCAAGCTCTTCTTCATCTGCTGGGACGAAAGCACTTTCCATATCTGGCACATCTGGCGATAAGCGCAACATCTGTAATCCGCTACCTGCCGGAGGTTATTCCGCACTTGCAAAACCTGGAGAGCGTCATCATCGTGAGCGCTTACCGCATTGTCTCTTCGAGCCCTCTTCCAGAGAGCGACCGCCGAATACTAATGGAGGACCAGAGACTAGTTCTGGTCTCTGTTCCGGATTATATCGAAGACTGGCAAGATGGGGTGTTGAGTGCCAACGACTTCTGGGCAAGGGCAGCACGGAGAATCGCAAACCGATTCTCTGGCGCAGTTGATGGTGAGTCGGTTCACGCATGACTTTGCGACGCATGGATTGAGAAGTTTATGCCAGCCAGTCGCTATGCCGTGAATTTCAACGATACGGATTGATGTGATTCTCACGCATGAAACGATAATGTACACTATTTCTCTGTAGAATCTTCCGGCCATATCGCATGTGGTTTCATCAAAGCTATTCCGGGGGAAGATATACTGGGATTCCTCTGGCGCTGCTGTACATGGAACTCCACTTTTCACAGCTCTGTATCTTGTTGTCCTTACATTTACCTGGATTCCGGAGATTCTTGCCCGGGCATCTCAAGTATCCAAAGTGAAATCCTACGCGCGTTTTTCCCAGATGTAGGTACCGTAAAGGAAGTCCTGATAAGTTGATTTAATTTTCACATCAGCCCATGACCGCCCCGATCGCGGTTGTCACTCCCTCAGTTGAATCGGGGCATGTGAGAAAAATAAACGCCCGAAGCTTGATCGGTGCCGAATATCACACAAAGCCATTGTCATGTCGTAATGATGAGAAGCGTAAGGTGGTCGTGTGTGTGGAGGCTCGGAGCATCACGCTTTTAAGCGAGACTTGGAAATCATGTCGCATTGATAGAATGATGATCGGTCTCACGCTAGAGATGGACCCGGAGTCGTAACACTGCGGGGGGACTTAATTTTTTTCTGTGGAAAATGCGTGACAATCTAGAAGTCCAATTTTCACTGTTATGTTTTCAGACAAAAAATATATATTGAAAATAGACGTCGATTTACAGCTCGATTTTTACCATGAATAGACATCTATTCCTCCCGAAAACAGAACTGTAGATAGATCATCTTTTCTTTGATCGATTCCCACTGGGAATAGACGTCGATTTTCACTGAAAATAGAGACAAAGAAAAGATGATCTTCTTTCACTGAAAACAGATTAAAACCACTGGAAGAATCTGTTGATTCCGGCCCCAATTTGGATCCCTAGCCTTGCAAAAGGCTACTGGATGCTACTCACAACATGTTGGAATCATGCTGCAGGACTTGTGATGTGAATTGGGGCCGGAATCAACAGATTCTTCCAGTGGTTTTAATCTGTTTTCAGTGAAAGAAGATCATCTTTTCTTTGTCTCTATTTTCAGTGAAAATCGACGTCTATTCCCAGTGGGAATCGATCAAAGAAAAGATGATCTATTTACAGTTCTGTTTTCGGGAGGAATAGATGTCTATTCATGGTAAAAATCGAGCTGTAAATCGACGTCTATTTTCAATATATATTTTTTGTCTGAAAACATAACAGTGAAAATTGGACTTCTAGATTGTCACGCATTTTCCACAGAAAAAAATTAAGTCCCCCTGCAGTGTAATCACTGCATGAGTAAAGCATAGCATTCATAAGATAGGCGTCAGTCACTCATGGTGAGCGTGCACGTGACTTTTGTGATGCAATCTCGAAGCTCATTCTCCATCCTCAACAGTGACTTGTCCTTGTATCTACAACCACAGCTCTCTTCTGCGGCCTTAAAGCAAGGGTTCTCTGGTTTTATTTTTTCCAAAAAGGCCTCTCACATGATGTAGTACGAACAAAAAAGTTCCCCATTTGTAGCACCTTAGAATTGAATGTCTGAGCGTCTTTCACATTTTCTGTTTTTGAGCGACCAGGAATTTGCTGCGTGACACGTCACATAAGCATGACACATGAAATTTTGATTGCTTGTGTCATCACCTCTGAGGCTCCAATGGCAAATGCACTCATGAGTTGCAATGCCTGCTTTGAAGTGACAGAAGTGTGATGATCAACCCAAAAAACAAAGTCGATAAGAAGAGTGAATTCCAAGACTGGGGAATACATGGCAATAGCTACAGTATTTATACCAGTCCCAGTATGAGTCATATCTACATCAAACAAGTTATGAGACTATGTACCGTGTGGAGCATTGGTCATGGGTTGTAGTAGAACCTTCTGGAGCACATGTTGTGCAGCCTCTGTACAGATAACCCCTCTGAACCCCTGACCCAGACCATGTGGTGCCGTGATCCACAATAAGATAACCCAATGTTGAGATTAGATAAGATTGTTGATAGAATGATGAAAAAGTGATTGAATTATAACATTACCCCCTCTCTAGGGTTGATGTCCTCATCGACTGAGCCAATGGGCATGAAGACATTTTTGTTAGGGTCAAAGAGTTGTTGGGGATATGGAAACTGCTTGTCTTTGGGTTTGTAGCAATGGATGAGGTAGTCCCAATGTCCAGCTTCAAGTGTTGGCAGGAGGTGAATGTGTGTGTCTGGGTTGGATTGTTTCCTTTGCCAAGCCTTCAGGACCTTCTTCACATGGGTAAGATGACGTGATGGTTCCCAAGTATTCTTGCTATGCGGCCATCCCTTCCATTTGACCAAATACTGCTTTCCTTGGCTGATGTTTCGCTCTTTCACAATCTCTTCAACTTCCCACTCATCTGCTCCTCTGATCATCTTGGCTATGGGTCTCTTCTCTCAACAATGGGGGGTGGTTCATGATAAGGTGTGAACAGTGACTTGTTGAACACTGGGTGTCTCCGGTCTGTATCTGGCAAATCCAACTTCCATGCAGCTGCTCCAACCTTCTCCAGAATCTTGTAGGGTCCCAGTCGTTTGTTGCTCATCTTCTTTGATGGTCTATCCATCTCAATTTTATCCCCTTCCACGTACACCTTCATCCCAACCTTCAACTCCAGAATTTCTTTTCTTTGTTTATTGTAGTATTTTTTCATTTTTTCATTTGCTTTTTCTAGTGCTGTTTTTGCTTCGTCTTGTATTGGTTTGATTCTTTTTACAAATTCTTCTGCTGACTTGTTTCTCAATTCCATCCGCTGCTCTACTCCCTTCCATGGGTGTTATCCATGATTTATATAGAATGGCGGCACTTTGGTAGACATGTACATTTTGTTGTTGTATGCAAACTCTGCCATTCCCTGCCATTCCAACCAATCTGTCTGATGGTAATTGACATAGATGCGGAGATACTGCTTGATCTGTGACAATCAACCCAAAAACAAAGTCGAAAAGAGAAGTGAATTCGAAGACTGGAGAATACAACCAAATAGCTACAGTATTTATATCCAAACCCAGTCTGAGTCATATCTACAACTAATGAGTCATAAGGCTATGTACCGCATGGAGCACTGGTCATGGGTTGTGGTAGAACCTTCTGGAGCATATGCCACGCAGCCTTGAATTGATAAGAAAAATCCTTAGACCCCTAGCCCAGACCATCAGATGCGGCAATCCACGATAAGATAAGCCGTGCCAAGATAAGATGAGATCAACAAAGATAAGATGAAAAAGTGGCCGAACTATGACATTACCCCCTCTCTAGGGTTGATGTCCTCATCAACTGGGCCAATGGGTGTGAAGACATTTTCATAAGGGTCAAAGAGTTGTTGTTGGGGATATGAAAGGCGCTCATCTTTGAATTTGTAGCAATGGATGAGATAGTCCCAATGTCTGGCTTTGAGCATTGGCAGGAGGCGAATGTGTGTGTCTGGGTTGGATTGTTTCCTCTGCCAATCTCTCAGGACCTTCTTTGCGTGGATAAGATGACGTGATGGTTCCCAGGTATTTTTGCTATGCGGCCATCCCTTCCATTTGACCAAGTACTGCTTCCTCAGCCAACGTTCCATTCCTTCACAAATTCTGCGATTTCCCACTCTTCTGCTCCTCCAATCATTTTGGTTACAGGTCTGTTCTCTTGGCAATGGGGGGGTGGTGCGTGATAGGGTGTCAACAGTGACTCGTTGAACACCGGGTGTCTTTGGTCCGTGTCCGGCAAATCCAGCTTCCAGGCGGTGAAATGCTGAGGGCGCGCTCACAGGTGAATCTACTATGAAAGTAAACCCAAATATAAACACGTTCACACTCCTCGTAATCAGCTTCTCAATGTGTGAAAGATGCGAGGGCTTCGGGGTGGACAGAACACCAGTATCACAACTCTCACAGATAAGCCGAGGACAGCTTAGATCTGTGTTCCCGGTGAAATGCTGAGGGCGTGCTCAAAAGTGAATCTACTATGAAAGTAAACCCAAATATAAACACGTTCACACTCCTCGTAATCAGCTTCTCAATGTGTGAAAGATGCGAGGGCTTCGGGGTGGACAGAACACCAGTATCACAACTCTCAATAGACGCAGATCCAATAGTCGCGGAAGACGAAGTCGACGACAAGAATTTATATATAGTGAACAATGGTGTCTCAACCAATATCTTCTATACGAATCACAACCAACACCAATCCAATCACAACCAACAATATAACAAGTCAGAACTTAATACGAAGTATTAAGATCCCTTGTAGCGACAGCGTCTAGATGGTGACGCAAAGCCCAAATACCGAGTCGACGCACTGCCAACCAATACAACCAATATACTGAGTCGACGCACTGCCAACTAGTAGAATCAAAATGTCGAGTCGACGCACTGCCAACTAGTAAACCAAAATGCCGCGTCAATGCACTACCAACTAACAGCCAATATCCAATGTCCAAAACAACCTGAGCACAACTAGTCGACGCACTGCCAAGCTAGAGGTGTGGAAAACGATCTCAACAAAGCCCAAAGGCGACGACACTAAGTGCCGCGACTAAACCAGAAGCGGTGAATCCGACTTTCTGATATCTCAACTCAAAACTCAAATCACAGTAGCTACAAGTGCTCTGGGGAGCAACTCGTCGCGACCGGGCAGGGGTGGCAGAACTTCTTAGGGTGGAATCACGCGGCACGCAAATTGTACAAAACAATCTGAAATGAGGGTGATTCACAGTCCAGGGGAAAGCTCCCTAATACAAAGAAACGACGTGCTACTTATACTGTCTACGACGATGCTTAGTAAAGTCCTGTACAACTGCATAGTAGCTACGCTATCTAAGATCGGTTGCCTTTTAGGGTAATGAAAAGTTCAACGATCGGACAGGTCCTGAGTGATCAGGACCCCGCCCCATAGTCCATATGGTACTTTTGATGTGGGTCAACTCACCGCGTCATACTTTTGGAATACAACGTGCTGGATTGGCCAATGGGTATGTCTTGGCAGGTGAGTCCAACGTGGGTGCCCCAAGAAGCCGTATGGTCCTAGGCACACCAGACGTTCCTCACATGGTTCGGTTCACGGATCTAGCCCGTGTCGATTTTAGCGTGTTTGGGTATGGGCGCGACTCGCCATGACACTTTGGAAGTGTCACCGTGACGCGTCCACAATGTCCCGTGATCGAATGGATCCTGACATGTGACAAGTTGTCGTTGTGGCATGATCTGAGGAAATGTCCAACCCAAAAACCGGGAGTTGCCGCGACCAGATTGGTTCAATCTCGTAACGCCAAGTCCTGTCCAGTAGTAGTTGTATTATTGAGAACGTTGCACATTGCTCAGCCCTTCAGCCCAAGTTCCCATCTGCAGAGAATGACCCTTTTGAGAAGTCGCCGCAATGAAAGATCCCTTTTGGGGAATTGTCACGGTCCAAGCGTTCGTCACTAATAGTCCTGAGCCTGGTATAGACTCATAAGACCAATTCCACAGTAGTGGTCTGACTGCCTTGCTATTGTCGACACTATCCACAGTTGCCGACTGGGCAGTAGACCCTTAAGTCCTACTAAGTGCAACACTGTCAACCGCGACATGATACACCGAGTGGTTTGAGAGTAAACTCTGTAAAAAGCGCAAAAATACGCCCTTACAGAGCTGGTGCAGAGCGCGTCTGGTAGCCAGCCTATCACCGGGACAGTTCATTTGGGGACGGCTGATGGATGGTTAGCGCGGTTCAAAAGTTGCGGTAGTCACGAGTCCGCGCCCGACCCGGTGTATCATGTTGCGGTTGACAGTGTTGCACTCAGTAGGACTTAAGGGTCTACTGCCCAGTCGGCAACTGTGGATAGTGTCGACAATAGCAAGGCAGTCAGACCACTACTGTGGAATTGGTCTTATGAGTCTATACCAGGCTCAGGACTATTAGTGACGAACGCTTGGACCGTGACAATTCCCCAAAAGGGATCTTTCATTGCGGCGACTTCTCAAAAGGGTCATTCTCTGCAGATGGGAACTTGGGCTGAAGGGCTGAGCAATGTGCAACGTTCTCAATAATACAACTACTACTGGACAGGACTTGGCGTTACGAGATTGAACCAATCTGGTCGCGGCAACTCCCGGTTTTTGGGTTGGACATTTCCTCAGATCATGCCACAACGACAACTTGTCACATGTCAGGATCCATTCGATCACGGGACATTGTGGACGCGTCACGGTGACACTTCCAAAGTGTCATGGCGAGTCGCGCCCATACCCAAACACGCTAAAATCGACACGGGCTAGATCCGTGAACCGAACCATGTGAGGAACGTCTGGTGTGCCTAGGACCATACGGCTTCTTGGGGCACCCACGTTGGACTCACCTGCCAAGACATACCCATTGGCCAATCCAGCACGTTGTATTCCAAAAGTATGACGCGGTGAGTTGACCCACATCAAAAGTACCATATGGACTATGGGGCGGGGTCCTGATCACTCAGGACCTGTCCGATCGTTGAACTTTTCATTACCCTAAAAGGCAACCGATCTTAGATAGCGTAGCTACTATGCAGTTGTACAGGACTTTACTAAGCATCGTCGTAGACAGTATAAGTAGCACGTCGTTTCTTTGTATTAGGGAGCTTTCCCCTGGACTGTGAATCACCCTCATTTCAGATTGTTTTGTACAATTTGCGTGCCGCGTGATTCCACCCTAAGAAGTTCTGCCACCCCTGCCCGGTCGCGACGAGTTGCTCCCCAGAGCACTTGTAGCTACTGTGATTTGAGTTTTGAGTTGAGATATCAGAAAGTCGGATTCACCGCTTCTGGTTTAGTCGCGGCACTTAGTGTCGTCGCCTTTGGGCTTTGTTGAGATCGTTTTCCACACCTCTAGCTTGGCAGTGCGTCGACTAGTTGTGCTCAGGTTGTTTTGGACATTGGATATTGGCTGTTAGTTGGTAGTGCATTGACGCGGCATTTTGGTTTACTAGTTGGCAGTGCGTCGACTCAGTATTTTGGTTGTGTCAGTTGGCAGTGCGTCGACTTGACATTTTGGTTCTACTAGTTGGCAGTGCGTCGACTCGGTATTTGGGCTTTGCGTCACCATCTAGACGCTGTCGCTACAAGGGATCTTAATACTTCGTATTAAGTTCTGACTTGTTATATTGTTGGTTGTGATTGGATTGGTGTTGGTTGTGATTCGTATAGAAGATATTGGTTGAGACACCATTGTTCACTATATATAAATTCTTGTCGTCGACTTCGTCTTCCGCGACTATTGGATCTGCGTCTATTGAGAGTTGTGATACTGGTGTTCTGTCCACCCCGAAGCCCTCGCATCTTTCACACACTGAGAAGCTGATTACGAGGAATGTGAACGTGTTTATATTTGGGTTTACTTTCATAGTCAATTCACTTGTGAGCACGCCCTCAGCATTTCA